CATAATAAGCCTCACCCATGAATGAATAGGCTCACACACCTGATCGTTTTGTATGCACTCCGTAAAAAAAAACTCCTAAAGGGCGTTCCCGACAACTCGAAAGAACACCAAACGTCAGCCCGACATAATGATAGGCAAGCATGCATACCGTCTAATAAGGAACGCTTCACGATTGTGCGTGTCATCTTTGTGCAAGGGGCCATGCTAATCTTCTCTGTATCGTTCCAATTTTAGTAGATGTCAACAATTTCTTGTCGACAAACACACGCACACACACACACGCACGCACACCCACATACACACACACATATATATATATATATATATATATATTTATTAAAGTAGAGACGTCTTTTACATCATTACTTTCATAGTTTTTTAAATATCTTTCTTCTTTTTATTTTAAAATTGTCATCACTCTTCAAATCTAATCTTTGATAGCTGACCTATTCGATGAATATGTTGTACACGATGGGGTTGATGCGGTCCATTCCTCCGGAGGATCTGATTCTCAAGATGATACGCCCGAAGGTAAGCGCAATCCCACGAGGTTCCCTTTTTCCGAAATGTCATAGTTTCATTATTCCGAATATTCCTAATTTAGAAACACATTTTCCTATACCGGGGGTTTACAATTCTAAATATTAAATTTGGTTCATAATTTTTGCGTTATTCAGAAGATTCACTTATTTCAAAGGTTCATAGTTTGGAAAGTTAAACAAGGTTCATTTGTCCAAAGGCTCGTAATTCTGGAAAAAGAAGGGATGTCAAAGTATTTCAAAATTGTGACATATGTGTTATAATTAATTTCAAAGAGTGAACATTTCAAAACCTTAAAACCCTAAGTCCAGTCCCTCTTCCAAACATGAAATGAGGGGGAAGCAATATTTCTAATTCCGTTGTGTCTTTGCGGAATAGTAGCATAGAAAAATGAATGTCCCCTGAAGAGAATAACCACGATTTGAGAATATGACGACAATTTGCTCATATCTTTAGACCAAACCTTTATGCCGCATGAGCGTGAAATGGTGTGTGTAGTGCAATACATTTTCTTTCGATTTATCAACAGGATTTAGTCGAATCTTAATCCTTTCGATGATTTCAACAGTTCAACATACACATATGTTCTGACTTCTGTACTGCATAGTGTACTAGTCTGCAGGCATAGAGTCTATAAGTTCACACTTTACCAACATTCCTGAAGCCTTGTCAGTCTTTGGCCGTGTCAAATAAGCGGGAACAGCGAAAGCCCAAACCTGTACATCTACCTGTGCCTGCAAACTGGAAATCAAAATTTCTCAAAATGTATTTAAATATGTAATATCTTTGACGATGCAGAGGAGGGAAAACCCTATGCGGAAACTGAAGCCGTTATGGGCAAAGAAGGAGGAATCATCGATGTCAAAGGATTCGGTGTTTTCTTATCGATCCCCATGGGTGCACTGCTAAAGGATACGCACATTAAAGGTAGAGTATTTATACATCCTTTGGCACGATATTAATCCCAACCTTAAAGGGATCGTTTAACAATGTTAAATCTGAGATACACGGCCCTACGCGTTATCAGTGTCTGTGATATGGCGTAATATTGAAGCCCTAAAAAAAATGCGCTTCAAAATGATCAAGAAGTGCCTCAAAAAAGTAAAAATCTTTGAGTGACCGGTTTTACCATACTCTTTTTCCTCAATAGACTGTAGTGTTATGAAAACCGTCAGGCGAACGGTTTTTAAAATGTGTAATTCCAATCATAAATATCTTGATAATCAGACAAGCGATCGGCTTGTAAAAGTCATGGGGTTCCTGACTGACCTAAAGGTTTATAATTATCATTGCATCATGAGCTAAATCCAGAATTTTGTTTCAAAATCTGAGACAAAGTTACCGGATCCCTTTAATGCACATTTGGCACGATATTAATCCCAACCTTAATGCACATTTTCCACTCTCCATCCAAGTGTAAATGGTGGGGGTAATAACGATCGCAGGGCCCTGTGGAATAACAGCATTGATGCTGATGAGGCTTTTCTGAAATGCTTAGGGTAAAGAAAATTATGTTCAGTATTATTAATAATATTGTTATAATTCAGTTCTTATCTAGTGTATATTACATGATATTGATGATAATTATAATGACGATAATAGATATCATTATCAAAATATCATTAATAATGAGGATGATGATGATGATGAGAAATTCACTTGAAATAAAATGATCAAGGCGCTCTTGCCAAGAATGGATGGGACAGTGGTAGGTTATTTTGCCTTTCTCCCTCTAATAACTAACTCCGGGAAGCTCCAACACCGGCGCGCAGCGTCGGAGCTTCGGTCAAACTGTCGTGGTGGCTTCGAAAAAAAAAAATGGGGCGACGTTATCGTTAAAATCTGCAAAGGGAGTACTTACAATGTTTACATCATAGGGTGCACGACTCCTCAGGGCATAACAATGATCACTTGAATTCATAATTTGAAGAGTGCCGATCGCTCGAATTGCTGAATATGCACGACTCGAACAAACAGAGTCCTCCTCAACCTCGTGCATATTCAGCGATTTCGAGCGATCGGCACTCGATAGCATGAATATTCATACTTTCTGCGGCTCTGCCGCGCATGCGTACAGTCTCTTCGCCATTTTGAATCGACGCTCCAACATGGAAGAGTCGTTTGGGTAGTGCTCTGAAAAACCCTTTTTTCCCATCGAAGACTTCTTCAAATTATGATTTCAAGTGATCATTGTTATGCCCTGAGGAGTCGTGCACCCTATGATGTAAAAATTGTAAGTACTCCCTTTGCAGATTTTAACGATAACGTCGCCCCATTTTTTTCTTTTCGAAGCCACCACGACAGTTTGACCGAAGCTCCGACGCTGCGTGCCGGTGTTGGAGCTTCCCGGAGTTACCTCTTAACATGCTATTGTCAAGGAAGCCCGTTCTGAAATCGGTCATCGATGAAAAATTGCCTGGGTTCAGAAAAATACAACATAGATTGATAACAAACAAGAAGAAAAAAATCCTATGCCAAATCAAACAGATACATTTTAAAATAATTTTGAACACTTCAACCGATCTGCTATTACGAATCGTTCAAAAGGAGAGCATTCCCCCTATTAGAAACATCACATTTACAAAGGGTGTGAATAATTTAGTTGTTAACTTTATTATTATCCTTTTTACTCATCGCCTGTTTTCATCTTCAAATTGAGTTAATTAAAAAGTCAACTAACAAGTAAATACCCTTTCCTTTATCTCATTTTTTTTCCAGTTGAGTTGTTTCCAAACTCGACCAGCAAAGAAGTAACTAGTGAGCACGAATCTACTATTTGCCCTGCAGTTCGATGCACCCCTTCGGGGTTGAAATTGAAGAAACCAATGACTATATCGTGTGAACACTGTGCAAGGATTGCCCCTTCAGTAAAGACAGGGGATACCCCTATCATTGTCTATTCTTCAAAAGAGCCTATAGGTAAGGCATGTGGATTTACGTTTGGTCTACACCCAAACTTCTTATACTCAAACAGTTTCTTCCCATATTGTATACACGTAGAACGTCCATATGGCCTAATAATCAATTCGTATATTTTACATTGGTTCTAATGAACATTTAGGCAAATAGTAATTTGGTCTCATTTCCAAATGGTATGATACCCTTTTGGTATATTGTACATTAAGTCAAACAAGTGGGTAGTATAATTCACAGGCTTGTATAGTGCCAATTTTGTCTACCATCCATGAGGTCTAACAAGCATTTGATGATTTATTTATGATAACATGATTATTAGACTAAGCAATCGATTTTTGTTTACGAGTGATTGCACATAGTGATGAACGAAATCAATCGCAATATATCAATTGCTTTTGAAGTGTTGTATTTCTGGGTCAAGCATTATTTATACACTGTTTGTCACAATGAAAAAAACAGTGATTTTTTTTTAAAAATGAAAACACAAATAGATGACATGACACTTGGCGACTTGGCTGAGGCCATTGAAACGGAACAGCACATGGAAGCCTTGGGCCGTGAACTGGGGTTTTCCGCTGCCGAGATAAACCGATATGCCGACACAAACCGGAAAGGGGACAGGACGACAACTAAAGGAACAATGTTCATGCTCCGTGATTGGAGGAAGAAAGTTGGGGCACGCAATCAGCTAAAAAGGCTACCAGAAGCTCTCAAGAAGGCTGGACTAGTCATGCTGGCAGAAACACATTTCATGAACGCCGATCCTAACGAAGGTACCCTTTTTTGACCAGCTTGGGCAAGGCTCAGTATTGAGTGATCGCGCTTCTGCGTCCCTGTGATGCTCGTTCGCACCGGCTAAGGTCACTCCGAACCCACAAGCGGTCGTGCTTATAATTAACTAATTACCCTATAAAGGAATCACAATTCCTTGTCGAAAAATTCTTTAACCTCTGCTTTCGATCCATTTATCCAAGTATGTATGAATGTTTGGCTGAAGTCTTATTTTATTCGACCGCGTCGTTTTTTTAATCAAATTAGAAACAGTTTACATGTCATGTTTGTCCATTAACTTCTTCATACGGTTATGCGTAATACGTGACCCTTGGTGAGTTCGCAGTGTGACCTTAGACCGTGAGAAAGAGCCTTACAGATATGCAAAAACCATGTCCATTCAATAGTGTCGTTTTCGCAATATATTGATGTTCAAGAGAAGTGTCATTTAAAAAAAAAAAGTGAAAACAATTTATGGGCCGTCCACTCGTGTGCAGCCCAAACTTATGGATGGTCCGCACATCAGTTATGCTTTCCCTCATGATATTATTTCCCCCTCAGTGCTGCCTGCTTGGTGATAACCCTTTGGAAAATACACCTCCCTTCGGCGGTCCAAACATGTTGTATTATACACACTATCAGTTTATGTATGTATATTATAATGTTTACGTGTGAAACAAAAATGTATTTTGTCAAAGAGGAAGACAGTTTGACTGTACTTAAAAATCTCCGTTTCCCTTATAATCCGACGGATTGAACAGCTCTACAGGATAAGGTACTCGTTGATATAGCCGAAGCGTTGGGAAATGATGAAAAGGTTGCTGAATTAGGCCGAGCATTGTGTTTTCCTACAGCAGCATTAGATAGATACACGGAAATGAATAGGAGAGGGGACCGGATTACCTTTAAAGGTACACAAGATATGCTTTTTGACTGGCGGCAGAAAATCTCCCCCAGCGATCAGCATCAGAAGCTCAAAGAAGCCCTCATCAAGGCCAATCTTGTAGAGCTTAGTGACAACTTTCTCAAAGAGGTACCCAAACCCGAAGGTGAGTGTTTTTGTGTAGTGTGGGCTTTTACTGACGTGTATCAATCAGATACAACAATGTACGTCTGGGGACCGACCTTTTATAACGTCACCATCCGAAATACGTGACTAGGTCTTGAACAGGGTTTCGCGGGGTCATGGTATTACCGGCTAAACTAACGCATTAGTATATATCCTGAAAATGTTTCTCCCAAAAATTAACATTTCACGATATCTGCATGATTTTGTTTGCAAATTAAACCGTGGGTGATGGGCTATACAATCGGATGGCAGTGCAAGTATTGACAATATTTGACGCATGAGTGTGAGGTATGTCTAATTTCAAGAAAATCTTAAGAGTGTTCTTTTCTTTTGATACATTGTTCACCATGGTCTCAGGGAACCCAAATGCCGACCGTCAGGAAATTAGAGCTCCAAACCGCAGGATTACGGATAAAACTATTGAAGCTGATGTTGTTGAATTGCGTGACTACGAATTTCGGTTGCCAACCGAAAGTCTGGATGGGAAGGTGGTAGGTTATCTTGCCTTTCTTCCTCTGAGCATGCCAAATTCAAGGAAGCCTGTTCTCAACTTGGTCATCTATGACAATTTACCAGGATTCAAGAAGGTAAGGCAGAAGAAAAAGAAAGGATTTGCCAATTCATAGCAGTATGGTGTGTTCTTATAGTCTTTGCAAATAACCTTTAAATCAAATTGATAGAGATTGCAACGCATGGCAGAACGAACACGAATTACAGCAAATTTGTAATTTAATAAAAAATGTCATTGTTATATTACCAAAAAGGAGTGAAAATATGTTTAATTGTTGATAATTTTAGAAAGTAAAGAAAAGCTAAACGAACATAAAAAGACGAGTAATTGTACGATATGTATGATAATGTGACAATTACCCCGCGGCAAGTTTCATACATTTCCAACTTTAACCGTTGACCCACCACCATACCCTGACCATAACCCTGACCGCCAGCCTTAACTAAAAACCAATTGCAACCTTCTCCAATGCCACTTTAACTAACTGATACTGCTTTCAAACTGGCTTATATCGGAGTCACACCGATGAAAATACCGATTGAATTTTCCTTAGGTAAACAAAGGTAAAACCGCCATTTTCCCTTCTGTCGATTTCATACTGCTGGTGAAATTCACTCACTGTGGCGAGCCTTTGCCGGAAGTGAATAATTATTACGTACATGTAATTATTAAGCCCAAGCCTCATCTAGCTGGCATTCAGCATGTTCAACAAAAAGTCAACAAACACAGCTGGTAACGATAAAGCGCGCGTACACTGCGACATTAGGCCATTTGAATCGGTGTGTTCATCGCTGTTTTCTCCCGAACACATTCACAGTGGCTGTTTCATCGGTGTCATACCGATAAAATGAGTATTTCTCCTGCTCTTGAGCAGGAGAATTTAATCGCCGATTTCTCTTCTTTTCATCGGCTATTTAATCGGCCTTTTCTCCTCTGTACCATTCATAGTGGCCGTTTCATCGAATGCGTCCGGATGCATCCGATGAAAATCAGGCCAGTTTGAAAGTAGCCTATCCGATAGGCGTCGGGCTGTACAAGTATACTAATCGCGTTTATGTGGAGAGTGGCATCGGCGCGGGCGTCAGCCCGAGCGCCTATCATCACTGGTCAACTCACACAGTGTTATTTTCTTTGTTTTCCTTGTTTCGTTCGTAGAAAATCTACGAACCCCCTGCAAAGCTCTTTCATGAATATTTATGAAGCATGGACCAAAATAGGCCAATGAGCGATGAGGAACCTGGAGATGATATTTGATTGGTTGAATCAAAGTGATCGATCACGTGATAAGGCTAGTCTTATGAATCATGCATGAGAATACGCTCGTCACACATACGATACACATATATGAATAATGATGAGTTGACCAGTGATGATAGGCGCTCGGGCTGTCGCCCGCGCCGATGTCAGTCTCCATAACGCGATTATTACACTTGCCATTTAGCCCGACGCCTATCGGATAGGCTAGTTTGAAAGGGGTAGGACGGAGTAATGCCCCGTTAACACTAGCCCGCATTTTGGTTTGCGCATAGTTTGCGCATAGACACATACTCTTGAGTGCCAATACGGGAAGTATTCAAAATAACGTGTGGGAGGATGCGGGCCGTGAGTGAAATGCGTGACAGAATTTTCAAAATGTTCAAAATTTTGGCGGGGCAATTTTGTTTGACAACGTTCGTGAATACTTCGTGAACTATGCGCACCCTATACACTACCTAAAGGCCCGGTCCCACTGCACTTACGGATGCAAAGAGGATGTAAAACGTAAAAAAATATTGCCATCCGTTGGAAAACGCTTTGCATCCGTTGTGTACTCATTGCATACGTGTTTCATACGCTCTATCCATCGAGCATCCGTCCACTGTGATTTCATCCGCGCAAAAAGTTTTGAGCTGCACACAATTTTTAGAACGGATGAACTTCCGCCGTGTACGATGTAAATCCGCGACAAATACGATCAACAAACGTTCTATATTCGTTATTATCCGTTAAACGTCCGCTGTATCCTCCCTGCATCCTCTGGGCATCCTCGCAACTCACATCCGCTACAGCTGAAAAACGGAAAGAGGGAGGAAAGATAAGGTACATGGAACGTCTATACATCGTTAGTAGCACGGAAATAGAAAGGATGTAAGCGTATGCATCTCGTATATAAAGTATTCAAAGCTGTCATCCACTTCCATCCGCTTTCATCCCCTAGGCTTCCGATGAACATCCGTTTAACATCCCCGCTACATACTAACCACGTCCGTTATTTTCCGTTCTGTTTTCGCAGATTTCGCAAATCTTGTCCATTTCTGGAGCGGATGAAAACGGATGGAACTACCCCCGAAATTTTGCTCGTCCGCTGTGTCCTTTATGCATACGTTTTGTGTCCATCGGCCAGTGGGACCGGGCCATAAAGGCCCGGTCCCACTGCACTTACGGATGCAAAGAGGATGTAAAACGTAAATAAATCTTGCCATCCGTTGGAAAAAGCTATGCATCCGTTGTGTACTCATTGCATACGTGTTTCATACGCTCTATCCATCGAGCATCCGTCCACTGTGATTTCATCCGCGCAAAAAATTTTGAGCTGCACAAAACTTTTAGAACGGATGAACTGCCGCCGTGTACGATGTAAATCCGCGACAAATACGATCAACAAACGTTCTATGTTCGTTATTATCCGTTTAATGTCCGCTGTATCCTCTCAGCATCCTCTGGGCATCCTCGCAACTCACATTCGCTGCAGCTGAAAACAGAAAGAGGGAGGAAAGATAAGGTACATGTAACGTCTATACATCGTTAGTAGCACGGAAATAGAAAGGATGTAAGCGTATGCATCTCGTATATAAAGTGTTCAAATCTGTCATCCACTTCCATCCGCTTTCATCAGCTAGGCTTCCGATGAACATCCGTTTAACATCCCCGCTACATACTACCCACGTCCGTTATTTTCCGTTCTGTTTTAGCAAATTTTCGCAAATGTTGTCAATTTCTGGAGCGGATGAAAACGAATGGAGCCACCCCCGAAATTTTGCTCGTCCGCTGTGTCCTTTATGCATACGTTTTGTGTCCATCGGCCAGTGGGACCGGGCCATTTATCGTGGCAGTGCGCGCCAATGCGTACCGATGCGTGACCGTTTGCTTTAATAGTGGCACACATGTTCACGACTTGTTAACGACTAATAGGCCAGTTTCGGCGGTTACGTAATGCGCGGTTACTGTAACCAAGCCCGACAAGCTTTGTCAAATCGCCATTTTGAATCTGTGCATTGTGTATTAGACTGTCGGTTCTTACCGTTAAATTGCATTCATATCTTTCTATCAAAACTGCGTGTATACATATGAATTTCTGTTTTGGCCGGAAATGTCTTCCAACTTGCCATTCATCAAGCTGATTTTCAGGCAGCTGCAATATTTTCTAAGAAAAAGAGGAGTTTCGACTACGGTATACACCCGAGAAAAGACTCGTTAAATTAGCGTCCGCAGTAGCGGACTAGCCTGCCCGTAGCCCCTGACCTACGGGGTCCGTGTCACTCGGTAGACGTGACTGTATGGGGAAATTACAACGGGCAGGATTTTCGTTGAGTGAACTAGTTACATGCCTCCCTTAAGTTTGACGATATTCCTGACTTTGGGACCTATGACGTATTCAATTATCTAGTAGAGAATATGGCGGACCATGCATTTATGATCGTCGAAAACTGAAGGCTTTTAAGAGTTTTGAAGACTTTCGATGGATATTTCCCGATGGCCATAGATTATGTGGCCTGGAGAAGCTCGAGTACAATCCTACCTCTAGTTAGCTCTCGGCAGCTTATGATAGCGACTTGTGACTAGATTATACAGGTCAAACCGACGCAAAAAGACAGAACATCCCAACTTGAACAAAAAGAAAAAATATATAAATAATAAACAAATAAAAAGTAGAAGTCTACAGATCTAATAGAAAATGTAATAACAGTTTTATTTTTAAATGTTTTTTTTTAATAATAATAATTGCTTCTTGAAGTTGAATAACGAAGGTCCGGCATAATTGTAGTCTAATACTAGACTATTAACTTTTATTTTATGAAAATCAAACTTAATTCCTTATCTTATTCTAAACAATAAAATTATTCATCATCCTGATTCTTCTTCCTTGCCATCATAAGGTGTTTTTTTTATTACTTTTATTATTCCCTTTTTCCATTGCTCTATCATTCTTTTTCCTTGTTCATTGTTTTTCTTCATTTTTTCCGTTCAAAATTATTTGTTTATCATTGTTCATCATTCTTATTCTAGCTCTTTGTCATCGGACGATATTATTTTATAAATATTATTTTATTAACAAAGACCTTATATATTGTATTATTACCTTAATTTTCATTATTTCTCGTTGCCTTTGTTAATAATATTGATTCTGCGGTCAGTGCTTGCTTCTCGTTAGCCGTTTCTCGTCCGCCTTGAAATAGTCCGTATCGAGGCGTTTCACAAACATTTTTTAATCCGTAAAATTGTTTTCATTTTGAAAATGTGAATCGCGCCTACACGAACACGAACACGTGGTACGCGCGCACGCTTCTGCAAGCAGAGGTGACTGTGTGTGCGAACGAGTGGAAAATAGTTCATCACTTCTTTCATTTCTACGTCCTAATTTGTTCTCAGATTCAAGCTAAGGTAAATGCAAAATTGAAAGGAAATTACCGATATCGGCTAGCTAACTTATATTTTGGTGCTTCGCTTTCTATTTCATCACTGGCTTTCAAGCCAATATCGCTTGTATCATCGACCTCGTTTTTCTTCTTTTTGAGGGGGTATCGTGCGCTGCCTGTACCGGGGACTTGGCCGAACAGGTTTAGCTGCAAGATGTGAATCGCTAGTTCTGTACCAGCAATGCTTTTCTATTATTCTTGCCTAAGACTCAGCGATTTTAAAGATCAAATGTATGAAGAACAAAATCACATCTCAAAGATATTTATTATTCAAGTTTGAAACTGCCTCCTTTTTCTTCTCTAGGCTCTCTCAAAATAGCGAAAACAAACGATACAATCACACCTAGCGAACACAGTCATGTATGGTATGCACGCAAAGTGTAGTCTGCTACGCACCGCGAGTTCTTTGCTTGTCCGACCCTCCGATTACGTAATGCGATTTAAAGGTCTTTGAATACATTACGAAACTGGCCTATTTGCTCACAATTTGTCCTTTGGCTGCGCATACTTCCCGCGCAGTTTTCGCATGTCATGCTCATAGTCTACGAATACATGCCCTCGTGGTTACGCATTGCGTGAACTATTCGTAAATTAGACGTGACCCTAAACGGACTGCGTGTCACTAATTGGCACGCATTGCCACGCCATAGAGTGGGTCAGCGTGGGACCAAAATATGTGCAAGTGTCAACGAGGCAATCGTCATCGTTTTAAAGCATTTCACGATAAGATAACAATTTTATATGATTCCTTTGTATTAGTATTATTATTATCATTATCACTAGTAGTATTGTCATTATTGATAGTATTGTTATCGTTAATATTTATATTATTATTATTCTTGCACTTATTTAATTTTAACAGAGTCTATGTGAAGAAATGGATGCAAAGGGACGTATCAGCCGAGATATCGAGAGACTCTTTTTTATCGAATCTTCTAATCACAACAGCCTGGAGGTATCATGTAGTATGGATGAAACAGATGATGATTTGAGAGAGGTAAAACAAAATACATCAGGACAGATCTGGAGTCCTTTGCATATTAAAACCTACCAGTGATGGTAACGTTGGCATCAATATTGATAATGACAACATCACTCAACACCCAATCAAATCCATGAAAGTTACCATAAATGACAAAGGTATCATGAATGATAACATTTATGCAACGGGGCGCAGGATTATCAGCACCCATCCGTCACATATAACAAATGGAAGAGGGAAAAGGACGGAGGGATTGAGAGAGAAAGAGAGAGAGAGAGAGATAGAAATAAAGATAGGGAGTGGTAGAGAGATACAAAGGAAGAGAGAAAAGAGAATGAGAATGGCGACCGGGTTGGTTAAAGAATACCACATGATAGATACTCACCATCTTTTCCCTTCTCTTTTTCTCTTTCTCTCTTTTCCCTCTTCTCTTATCGTATGCATCTTTCTATCTCTCTATACACCCCCTTCACTTCTCCTCGACCATCGCTAGACTCTCTACTTCTGGGATCTGCATGATTTCGGACGGAATGTCCTGGACTTCACGTTAGATTGTAATCACTTATCAACAAATGACAGCAATGTGAAAGTAACGCTAACACACGGAAAGAGAAGACGCAACAGCATCTTTGTTGTCGATATGAAAGGTAAGAGATATATATACATATATATTTATATATACATACATTATCATATCATATGCCCGTCTAATTAAACGCTGTAAGGTATATACGCATAAGACGGACATGTGCGGTGAAAAATGACATTAAACAGACGTGGCTATTAGCAGGACATTTGCGTGTCCTGTTGACGATTAAACAATAAGAGGACACTTTTTTTTTTTTTTGGTCTCCAAATTTGAAAATTTGATATTTTTCTTCGTTGGGGGGGGGGGGGGAGAGGAAATGTCACCTTTTTTAGGTAAGCCATGGGCATACTTTTTTTTTTTTTTTTTTTTTTAATGATTAAACAAGAAAAAGAAAAAAAAGGGGGGATTTTAGGAGGGTTTTCTTAAAAATACACACATAAAAGTATCAAAGGGTGGGGGTTTAACCCCTAACCCCCACATGGAAGAGGAGACACTAAGCTTTCCAAATATGTATCATTCATTAATTATAGTTGTGATTAAGTTATGAACATCGATACTTCTCGGTTTCGTTTTTTCTGGGACGCACTGTATATAACCCCTAATGGTACATTATTACCGGATATCATACAAAAAGGTATATTACCCTAACGCTTACACTAGCCCTAATCCTTACTCTAACCCCAATCCTAATCCTACCCTAAATTCAAAACAATATCACTCATTAAACTAATTACGAATGAATATAACCCTATCTAGGGGGTAGTTATTATATTGTTCAATCGTTTAACCCATTGACGACGGGAACCGGATGCTCTCTGTATTAAACCTATGGGAATGAGAGAATTCATTTGTCAACGGGTTAACAGGACAGGAAAATTTCCTGCTAATGTCCATGTTTACTTTAGGACTCATTTTTGCACTACATATTATGTCGCAGTGATGTATACGTTTCAAAAAGCTCTTACAGACACAAAGGTGCGATTGGTCCACAGCTCATCAAATTATATAAATTGTGAGGATAATAATTATCCCTTTTTCCTCCGGTCCTTTTTTTCTATTGTCATATTGAACATATGTGACCAGGGCCCCGTCTTATAAAGAGTTGATATCAATCGCACTTAATGTGCGATTGAACTCGATCGCAACTGTGTACATAAGAGATAGAAGACTGTAAACTTGCGATTAATTGGAATACTTGCGATTGATTCGGATCAATCGTAACTTCATATAAGACGGAGCCCTGTCATTAAAAAAGCCACCAAGAAGTCGTATGCTTTGATTTTCAGTTAGAGCTTAATAACGGTGCATTTGGTCAATATAGTCAATTGTCAATTTTCAGCATTTCATGAAAGAGCATACACTTTTCTTTTTAATTTCCAAATTTGGAAACAAAAAATGAACAAATAATAGTATGATGGACATTGGTAGAACTCTGTTTGTTTGATATTGAGTTTTCTTAATGTTTTTAACTTCTTTATTATCCTGGCTATTATAGAGCAAGCTGATGCAAGCATTGGTACTTCGTCAAAAGAAGGTAAAGAATATACCTAATTTGTGTAGCAATTTTTAAAGACAATTTTACGATCCTTTCAAAGAAATTCGCTATGTTTTATTTGTACGCAATTAAAACAAAATATTAGAGTAGAAAGTTTCAAATATTAGTTAATAGGGTATGAAACTTTCTAGCAGCACCGATTCAATTTACTTTCTTTCTGATCGTTTCGAAACGGCTCTGTGCACATCACGTCTTCTGTACAACTTGTACATGTTATTCCAAGTTGTTTGTTTTGTAATTTATTTGTATTCCTCCAAATGTGTAATATAAACATACAATTGAATAAAATAAATAAACTTTTTCAATATTGATTGCTTATACATGAACATAATTAAACAAAAGCTCATTTGCAGTGTTTATAACTTAGCAAAAAAATGAAAGTAAACTTAAAGTACTTATTTACTTATATGAAAACATATTTAAACAACTGGAGGTTATTTTACTGGTACTCCCAGCTCCCCCTCCCTCACACAAACATACACAAACACACACACACTAATCACTCAGTGGATTTCTGCTAACATTTACACATCCACACGCACCCACCAGGAACACACACTCACACACAAACATAAATTATTTTGCATTTTGATATATGAACGGAAGTTAATACTCTCCTTTCAAGCCATAACAGTACGATAAACTGAAGAAAAAAAACCTCTGTCTAGGTCTTGCCTAAAACAGATTATTATGTTTCATAGCTTGTGTGATTGTTTGTTTATTTTCGTGTTTTTATTTTCTTCTTTGTAGGTAACGCAACAAAAACAGCATGGGGAGACGATTAAAACACTGTATACCAATTCCACCCACAAAATGGGTAATTTCATGTTCAGATAACCTATATGTCATTGTAGTTTTTACAATACGTAATGGACACGGCTATTGATATTGCCTTAATACGAAGACTTTACAAGCCTTATCGATCTATTTTGTTTTACTAAGATGAATACCGTCAGGGAGAAAAATAGAAAGAGCGAGAGAGCGATAGAGGGAGGAGAAAGAGAAAAAGAGAGAGAGAGTGAGATGAAGAGAACGAGAGAGGGGATAGGGAAAAGAGAGATAAACAATAAGGAAAACAATAAGAACGCAGACGAAATATTAGATGGGACATTTCTCAAGTCGGAAGGATATGCTAGAAGCCCTTCTGGTAGAGGAACAGGGGCGGCAGAAGAGGATCAAGAACCGGAAATCTGGTCTAACTCGCACCAAAGTGAAGAAGAGGTATCAAGACAGAGAAATTATAAGCATTGATGGCTCTTGTATCTGTTCTTACATTTATAATAATTATATACAATTAAATAACTATTTGTTTTGTCCTGTGTTGTTGTATTGTTCCACCTTCACGTAATAATATTGTCGCATACATACAAGTTGACAAGAAAATGCACGTTGAAAAACAACAATAGACATGTAACATATCACGAACAAATTGAGGGCACCTATTAAGAAGCAAGCTAACATGTTATAGGTTATATAATGTAAGCAAAATAGTGTAAATTTACTTTCATATAAAGACGAAATAAAATTTTGAATCTCTTGCAAATTAGCATAATGAATAACATGTAACAAAAAAGTACTTAAAGCACGTCTTATCGTTTGGATGGAAGTAGAAAGGCATTAACTCACATATTTTAACGCCCGTCTAGCTTCAAGCTTGGGGGGGGGGGGATGTTATATGAAAATAACGTGTATATACGGTATGTCGCCATGGTATATATGATTTTACATTTTTGTGAGGGATGCATATTTGGCTTGGGTAGGTGTGTGTTATAAGGAAGAAAAAATGTATATATATGGTACGTAGCCATACATTTGTATGAGTGAAATATGTGTGGCCTTGGGCGGGTGTGTGTTATAAGGAAAACAAACATGTATATATGGTATGTCCCATAGTATACGTGTATATTCATTTTTGTGAGGTATACGTGGCTTGGGTTAGTGAATGTTTTAGGGAAATGAAATGAAAAAATTAGAAGAAATTGTGAAATTAATCAATAAAAAGGTGCTTTCATCTCTTCTTTAATGTTAGAACTATTTCTAAGCCACTCAATTTTAATTTATATATTGTTACAATCTTGTAATAATTTTCCATTCAATGTGTTTTCATATCTTCGTATAGCATGTAATTATCAACGATGGCAGCATTCTTTTACCCTAATGTTCTTCTTTACGGAAATTTGTCTTCCATTTACTAATCATCTTGCAATAATTCTAAAAATCCTAAAGTCAAACACCAACATGTATACGAACCTCAATACTCTAGATAAACAGTCAAGTTTGTTGATACAGTGTATGCTTATGTATATATAACTATTGTGTTCTGTTAGGAACTACTAGAAGAAATATAAAGTTATTTTAAAACTGGTCCTTGTCATTTTCGATGGCAAAAAATCCCAATGTTGGATGTTAAATCTGAGATGCATGGCCCTACGTGTGCTCAGTGTATGTGATATGGTGTAATTATGAAGCCCTGAAAAAATTGCGCTTCAAAACGATCAAGAAGTGCCTCAATACAGTACATCTTTGAGTGGACCGGTTTTACCATACTCATTTACCACGATAGACTGTAGTGTTATGAAAACCGTTAGGAAAACGCAAAATTTGATTTCGAATTCTAATCATAAATATCTTGATAATCAGACAGGTGATCGGCTTGTAACAGTCATGGGGCTCCTGACTGACTTAAGAGTTTATAATTCAGGATTTTGTTTCAGAATCTGAGACAAAGTTACCCAATCCCTTTAATGATGGTTGGATTCTACTGGGAACTATTGCATCTTTTTGTATGTAAACAAAAATCTAAAATCGTTTGATTGTCTCACTTAATGGATAACACGTGACTGCGTTTGACCAATCGTATGAATGTGATGTAAGAGTGAATTGGTGTCGTTAACGAAACATAATTATGTATGCAACTTTATTATCCTCCATATAATCTTGATTCATGCGTTTGCTTTAATTGTGGAAAAAAACGTGTACCCTCAGTGTTCAAGATCTAGAAACGAAACAATGTGTATTACGAAACGAAATATTTGATCACATAAATGTGAAGTATGCCTGGTATTGTTTAAAAACAGAAATGCTCAACAGCTTCTTACCGCAAAGTCATGAAGAGGTATATATATTATAGAAAAAATCCCTTGAAAAATTCCTTGAAAAAAATCCTTTCAAGGGAGAATTTTCTTGCTTCGTTTGACTAGATTTGTAATGGGATAATTGGTGACAGACAGCAATTAAGAGGATAACTAAAATCCGGACAACTAAAATCCGTATTTTTGGCCTCTGTGTGACACCGCCTATATATAGAAAAATCGATAGCTTCAGCACTTTGCCTGCTGGCACGGTGTGGTATATGAATTATACTAATGGGGAATATGAAAACTCGCTAGCCTTTTTTTTTTTTACAATGTATTGACGACATTTCTAAGAGTTGTTATCGTTTTGTGTGAAATAAAGTTTAAAAAACAACAATAAGATGATGATCCTTTTCCTTTTTTCAATATTCCATTGAGTAGTTTGAGTTCTCGGAATTGCTGAAATAGAATTTGAGAGCAATCTTTTGGTCTTTTGTATGTTAGTGGTGAAGAGTATTATTATAAAATGTCCCCTGAAAAGGATGGTTATTCAAAATGCCCGCACATTCGAAATATGACGAGTAACAAGTAAAGGTCGTGGACCAAACTTTCATGCGACATGTTTGTGTAGGCTTTTGTAGGCCCTTCCCATTTCTCTGTACCGTTGAGGTGGATGACAGACACCCAGAGCAGACCGAGATACCTAAACAAAAACATATGTTTTAGAAAAACTAAAGATACAGAATGGCAACAATTTGAAGTAAATTGGACCAATAATAAGATTGTCGATATTAGATCGCTAAGTCTACGAAATGTTCTAATAGTCATTTTTTTCATCGGATTGTGACATATATACAAGGACAACTTCCAAATTGGTCGTGTACAAATATATCATTAGTTTTAATATATTTGCACGTTTTATTCCAAGTGCCTTATCGCTTGGGGCACTACTCACAATGTAGTATGGAAAGCAAAGTCTTGCAGGTCCTCTGCTTTCATTTAGACTAATTACGGTTGGATTCCCCCCCCCCCTAAACAAAAAGTTCTCTGGCAGTGTTACAACCATTTGCGGGGGCTTCACACCATATTCGCGGGCTTTGCTCCATATTCGCGTTGGTCCTACTATTCTTTCATGAGATCGATGGTTGCTATATCAACGACTGTTCATTTCTTTCGGACGGGGGTGGGAGGTGGTTTCCCCTCAGTTTTCCCTCTTTCATCCCATTTGCGTAATATAAAAGAATCACTCTCAGAGGGGGTGAATAAACAAATGCATCTGATATTTTGTATTTATGTAATGAACAATCGAGTAAAGCAAACAACGATATAATAACACATTGTCCTATAACAGGCAATGGGAACGACACTCACGATATTTAATCCGTATTTTCGTTACTTACATTGACCTTGTGATGACCTAGATGATAACAATATCTCGTCGTTTGCTCAAGAACATACCTTTCTAAATTACTTTAATTACTTACTTCTTTCAACATTGCACAAGTCATGAATGAACAATCTTTAAAAATAAAACAAAACAAACAAATCAAAGCAAACCTAAATAATACGAACAAAAGTAATTTGCATACGATACTCTTCCACTCAAACATGAAATGGATAAAAGAGCTCACTAATTCCTTTTCACCTGTCGTAGAACCCTACCTTCTCTTTAAAGTTGTAGAGCTCGGATGAAGAATGGCTATAGTGAAAAAACATTCGAGCATGATTGACGATCACTGTAATGAAACATATTGTTGTAATCACGAGTGTAGGCTTTGGTCCCACGCGAGGGTTGCAGAGGGGTGAGAAAGGGTAAAAAGGGTAAATAGCTAGGGAGCCTACACAACATGACCAATTATAACATTATTAAAGATATCCATAACTCATGAATCAATTGAAGAACAAACTCAAAGAAGTCAACCCCCCCCCCCAACAACAAACAATTAAATGTACTTGTAAGGATACTGTGTGGTAAATGTAATGTGTATTTTTCCCTTGTCCTCATTCTAAAAATTGATTGGTAAAATTTGATTGATATTAGGTTGAATTTAGACAACTGCTTTTACATTTTAAGTGTATTCGCTAGTGAAAACGATTCGTTCACCCTTCACGTTACCCCTTCTCTATATATACCCATACATATATTTATCTCTCTCTCTCTCTCTCTCTCTCTTTATCTATATATATATATATATTTATATATATATATATATATATATATATATATATATATATATTTCCTACCCGTCCTCTCTCTTTATTTTCCTCTCTCTCCCTCTCCAACTCTCTCTCTCTCTCTCTCTCTCTCGCTCCCTTCCTTTCTCTACGTCTTTCTCTTTATCTCTTTCTCTCTATCTCAACATTTGTTCTCTCTCCTCCTCCGTCCTCTCCTTCTTTCTTCATTTCTTCCTCTCTCTCCGTTCCTTCTTATCTTTTAAGTCTGAATAAGAAACTACCGACAAAAATGAAATGTTGTATTTCATAATGCATGAAATATATATTTATTACAAATGTATTTCAATGAAGTCATTAATAACAAAAGTCAAGGGGAATTCTTTATGCGTTCTCCTCTTTTTAAAAATCCTTTTTTTTCTAACCATGTTTCATAGATACATTTAAGAACTGAAAGTATTTTCACGGTTATCACTTATTTTAACCACTAACAAAAACCTTTGTACGTGACGTTTACTTCAAAAAATGGAAATGTAATA